AAAGTTCCTATGCCCAAGGGTAGTAAGAAACTAGGTCAAAGGAAAAGGTCAACAGCTGAACGATCAATGACAATGCTGAAACAGCAAAGAAAAACACGCTTTGGCAAATAAACAGAAATGAACTGGATTATCTTCCTTAACTATAATTTTATAACTTTAAGACTTGTAAATAGTAAGAAATTGGATGAGTAGCGCACCCAAAAGCCCGGTTTCTAATAAATGTTTAGAAAAATATTTTTTATACGACTGATTTTTTTAATACGCAGCATAAAACCCTTTTATTTGAGTTTATTTTAAATAGTTAAATGTAAATCGGTGAGCAACTGTTGCATATATCTTTATCTTTTAATTTATTATCAATATGAGCCAACAAATTTGAGTGATAGTTTCAGTCAATTATTTCAATTGATTAGGTTTATTAAATTTAATCGTTACGTTATTTCTGTATATTTTGTTTTAATTATTTGTTAATCATATCGCATATTGTCTTATCGGTCAATAGTTTGAACAGATTGAGTTTATTACATTTAATTCATACGTTATTTTAGGTTATTTCGGGATATTTGGGTTATTTTAAGTTATTTTGGGTTAATTATTCTACAATCATATCGCATATTGTCTCTTCGGTCAATTATTTGAAATTACGGGTTATTTCGTTTTTAAGACGCTTTTTTCATACTGTTATAAATATATATACTATTTATACCTACAAATAAATATTATTTTTACAAAATATATTTTATCAACTATAAAGTTTTTTAAAAAATTTTAAAAATTTTAAGTGACAAATAAAAAAAAAAAAAATTATAACATTTTAACATACAAGATAAAGTTATAAAAAATTATTTTTTGTTTTTGTTTGTTTTCTTTTAATCAAATAATAAAAAAATATTTTTTGAAAATGGCTGGCAATTTTTTGAAAATTAGTCAAAAAGTCACATAGAAACATCTAAGATAAACTCATACTTGTCTCTTTATTTATAAAAAAATTCCACATATTGTCTTTAGTGTGTTAGGTCCATATTTAGTTAGAGATTTTAAAGTTAATTCATTATTTTAGGTTTCAAGACTTTTTGAAAATCAAAAATGTAAATTTTTACAAGAAAAAATAAGATACCTCAAGATGTATTTATTAACTTTCAAAATCTAAAGCTAAAAAGTAAGATATTAGTGCAAGTACCAATTTCAAATTTAAAACTGGGTGTATAGAAAAGGTAACAGTGGTTTATTAAGTATCTTTGTTTAGACTTATTTATTATGATTTAACTAATACAAAGAATGTGTGAATGTACATATATTCTAGAATATATGTATTTTTCTTCAATGAACAAAAAATGTAACTTATATTTCAACATATTAACACATTGAAATGTTCAACTTTTGACCAATTAAGCCATGAGTCTAGGTTACTTAACTGCATATTTTAGTGTAGACTGAACCAAATGTGAAAATATTCCATTCTACACAACATTTAATTTTAATAACCGCGCGAACAATTCGCGCTAAAATATTTTTGGACAAAAATTAACGCCGAGATATGCACACATGAAAAAAGTTCAATTGCATATAATATAGGGTTGTTCGCCGAAAAACAAAACTTACGAAAATTTCGCATTTTTATCTTCCGTAATAGAATTGTTATTGCGGAAGTTGCACATGCGAAAATGCACATTCCGTAACGCTCTATACGAAAATATAAATAAATAAAATTCCGTAATAACGCATTACGAAAGAAGACTTGCAAAACAAATCATTTCGTAAGAATACTTACGAAATAGTTCATTACGGAAGGAGCATTCCGGAATGTGCAGTTACGAAAAAGACGCAAAAGATTTTATGTTACGATATATTTAAGATATTAACTGTTAACAGTTTAAATAATAAATAATAAAATTATAAAAAAATGTTGTCAAATGATTCTTCAAGTGTTTATACAAATATACCTTTTATATATATATATATATATATATATATATATATATATATATATATATATATATATATATATATATATATATACATTAACGGGATTTTACTGTATATATATGTGTATATATATATATATATATATATATATATATATATATATATATATATATATATATATATATATATATATATATACATATATATATAAATATATACATATATATACAGTAAAATCCCGTTAAGTTGGACTCTCAATGAACAGATAAACAGTATGCCTTTCTTTTTAAAAAGTATAAAGAGGATGTGTGATAAACAATTAAATACTTTATTATAAAGAACGAGAGATCTCTCTAAAGGTAAATGATATCAGCAAAGAGTAAAAAGAGAAGAAATATATGTGAAACAGCGAGATATGAACCTGGGTCTACGCGGCCAAATGTCTTAACTGAATAAGCTATACGTTCATTCAACTAAGTGAATAGTAATATTTATTTAATATACAATTAAGAAACTATATAAAACAGAATTTACAGAAAGAGATACGAATGCAAATAGGATTCTATATATCAGGAAAATGAATAGTAATGTGAACCTTTAGATGCTTGTAATTAAAATCTGGACTCAAAAACTAGTTACTTTTAATGGAACACATTAGGCTGTAGGAGCCTCAGGGAAATTATATTCAGAAATGGTTATATTAGACTCAGAGTTAGCTAGAAATTATTACAAAATATTTAGGACAGATGTCTAGTACAAAAAGCAAAAGATTTAAAGCAAAATGATTTATATTATTTGAAAAAGTTGTTTTACGTACATTTCATCATAATTTAAGTAGAACTTAGTAAAGCAAGGGAAACGTGTTAAATTTAGCACAATGAACTCAATCTTAAAAGAATAACTAACAGAAGAGAGGTTGTCACTATTGTGAAGGTGACGAAAGATCTGTAATATAGAACATGGAGGTCAAAAAATGCTATCTTAAGTAAAAAGAGTTTGATGAACAAAAGTTACAATGGCTGCGGGATGCGAACCGGGATCTCTACGGCGAATTATCACGTATCTAACTGATTGAACTATACAATCTTATACTCAAATTTATATCTTATTAAAATTAAAAAACAATATTTTCTAAGATCTATACTTCGAAAAGCGTATTCAAACAGGACTCTACATACCTTTAAAATCTGCTAGAACTTTAGTAACGTGAACACTTTTAGAAATTATTGAAATAGGTATATTTTATCAGAAATATGCTAAAGCATATTTTTGAGCCTCTTTTTACTATTTGCTTAAGCATATTCGAACCTGTTTCAAAAGTTTCATATGCTATTAAAAAAAAAACATGTATATTCCTACCCATCATTCTTATTTTTAATATACGTAATGAGTTCAAAAAACATCGTTGTATATATTTATTATGGCACGTTTCGTAAGTTGATTTCCGTTAAGAATTCTTTCGTATGTTGTGATCCGAAATACTTTCGTTTTGAAAGAAATTTTATTTTTTATTAATATTTCTAAAAAAAAAACCATAAAAATTTAATAGTTATTATACTGAGTTATAAAAGTTCATTATAAACATTTTGGGATTTAAAGATGTTAATTTTTACAATTAAAATCAGTCTGGCAAACAAATTTTCTTTAAAGACTTCAAAACGTCGTTTGGCGAAAATGTTTGTTTCGCAAGTGCGACTTCCGAAACCGCTACTTTCGTATGTTGCAAAATAGTTTTGTTTCGTATGTCAACTTGCGAAATGCTAAATTTCGGAAGTGGCTTTTGCGAAATGAACATCGGCGATTTTAAATGTTTTGTAACATTCGGTACGAAAAAATGTAATTCCGCGTTCTCAATCTCCTTACGAAAGAATGTTGTTTTTCCGGAATTGCACGAAATCCTCCGGTTAACAACCCTAATATAATATTAGTTTTTACATAAAACTGTTCGCTTATTTATCATTAATTATTTCAGTGATCAAATACAATAATCTATTTATAATTTGATGAAGAGATGCTACACCAGGTCCCTCTATGCTGACGAACATGGAGATACAGACGCTACAGACAAAGCAGCAGTTGTATCTATAAAGTTATTTTCTTATGTTATTTTTGAAAGCGTTGATGGATTGAGCGTTCACTGCTTCTTGCGAAAGCGCATTCCATGTGGCGACAATTCTGTTTGAAAAAAAGTTATATCGCTCCTCACAGTTTTTTTTACCATCTTACGTTCTGGTTTATGGTTATGGCCTCTTAGAATATACTTATCTTTACTTTTTGAAAATTTTTTCGGGACGACAAAACCGACAAGCTCGAGTTTACGAGTGATTTTGAATTGCTGGATAAGATCTGCTGTTTGCGGCGTTCTTCAAGAGTTGTTAAACTGAGCCGTTGGAGTCGATTATATTGGATAGCAAATCCTTACAAGTGTTGCAATCAGCAAACGCAAAAAATTAATATTTTTATTGGGGAATGTATTCATAATAGGCTTGTAACCTTAATAATTATTCACCCTCTTGTAAGTATGCCTATTGCATGCGCTAAAACACCACCGCACTCTGGACAAATAAATTAGATTTTAAAAGTACTTATAAAATTGCTCATTATTTTAGGAAAACTCATGGTTTTTTTTTTAGATAAAAAGATTTAGATTTAACTTTAGAATACACTTTTTTAATGAGGCGTGGTCACCAAATATAACATGAAATAAGCAATTCTTCATAATTATTTAAAAATAAAAACTTTTAAAATTAGTTTTTAAAAAATACTAAAATATATCAGGGATTCATACTTAAAAAAAAATTAATGAATAGATTTAAAAACTAAAAATTATTCAAAATATTTTATAAAATAATAATAACTATAAATGCTATTTCTTAAAGCACTCAATCAAACAAGCGCTAAAGCCGCGTATATAAATTTTAGAACCATCCGTGTATAAAAACGATTAACCCGGATCAAACTTTAACAAAAGATCTAAAAATAAGAATTTCATCAAAGTCAAAAATAGGTACTGAGCGAGGGAAAGATACTAAAAATTAAGGTGAAAAACATTCAAATAAATATTAACAAAATAATAACAAGCTATATAAAAATTTATGTATATACAAATATTAATAGGGAAAAATATACATGAGAATAATGGAAACATAAATTATAAAATTCTAAAAATCAATTTCTCTGAGATATTTTCAACAGGGTAAAAACCCATTTTCATATACATATCTAGATGTGAATCATTAGAAAGTTGATAGTATGTAGTTGTAGAACCGCATGTCTTTAACACGCAAAGAACACTGTTAAATAGTCTTTTGACAACACATTCGTCGTAAACATTACTTTTAAACATATATGTCAAATGTGACGAAGATGAATTTCTCCATTCTGGAGAGTTTGGAAGTTTGTATGAATATGATTCACTTTCAGGGTATTTAACTTTTATCTCAGAAAGCCAGTAACTTTCTATATGTTCGACAAAAACTTTATTGTTGGGAACAGATGCTATAAAACCACATACACCATCATTATCTTCAACAATAAAAAGTGTTTTAGAAAATTTAGAAATATAGCATCCAACTAATGTATCACCAGCAAAATCATTTTTTTGAAACGTCTTTTCTGTAACAGAAAGCTTATTTGCAGACAATGAAGAACATAAATCGTACAAAGACTCCTAAGAAATAAAAGTTAAGAAAAGTAGTTTATTTATATATTTATACATACTTACACACATTTTCATATTTTTTATATATACTTTCTAATTAATATTTTATTTTATATAATATCATATACTTTTGAATTAATATTTTCCATAATAGTATTTAGTAGCATAAGTAAACGACGACACCAATTTTTTTAAGTTATAATAAAAATTCTGCGCAAGACTTATTTTAAACAATTACTGTTAACGGGTAATTTGAACGTTATTAATATGCAGGGTGGCTAGCCACTTTGTACAATTAAATTCCCTAACTTTTTCCTGACTTTTATATTTTTCCTTGACTCGGTTATATTTTAAAGAGTTTTTAAGTTTTGTTGTTTTGCAGTAAATAAAAACCTTTAAAAAAAAATTAAATTTGGAAAAAGAGATTTTTTCCCTTGACTTTTGGGAAAAAAAATTAAAAAATCCCTGACTTTTCCCTGACTTCTAGTTGTCTGGCCACCCTGTATATGTGAGTTATTGTTTAAAAAAGCTTTATGCTTTAAAATTTTCCTTTTATAATAATAATTTGAAATAAAATCTTTAGATTTTATTTCAAGTTATTATTATAAAAGTATTATGAATTTTAAAAGTATTATGAATTTTAAAAGTATTGTCAATTTTAAAGCATAAACAATTTTATTTATAAATTTCCGCAAACCATTAGAAAACCGTATAGAAAAAACGTAAAAACCATTAGAAATACGTAAAGGTTAAAAAAATAACAACAACAAAAAAAAACAATCAGAAAAAATGTCTTAATTTGACTAACTAAATAAAACTATTTACGATACCAAGTCACTGATGTACGCTGATCAAATTGACTGTCTACCTTTGATTTTTTTTATTATTCACACAAAATAAGTATATTTTACTTTTTTAGATTACATAACAAAAATAACTGTAAAATTTACTCAGTTTTTAGTAGAACTTATAACTAAAGAAAAAAATTATTCAAAAAACTTTTCAAAAAATAATTACTTAACTGATTAAGCTAGAATTACCGGCTTATTTGCTTTAACGCTTATATTTATATTTATACAGGTCGCCTACTAGTTAGGCAACCTGTATAAATATAAATATAAACTTTGTTTCAAACATTTTTTGTACATATTTTACTATCTTGTTTTTACTATTTTCTTTTTTAAAATAAGCTTAACTGAAAAAGACTATATAATTAGGAATGGGAGTTTATGTATTGTTTAATTAAATATATATATATATATATATATATATATATATATATATATATATATATATATATATATATATATATTGTTTTTTCATATATACTATATAATTAGGAATGGAAGTGTATATATATTATTTATTTAAAATTAGCTAATTAACTTTTCAAGTCTAACTAAAATGAGTTAACTAACTTTTCAGCTAAAGTTAAATAAAAAACTTTTTTATACACGCATATGTCAACTGGTAAAAGCAACTAAAAAACTATCCCACTGATTTTTGCTAATTAGCTATCCAAAAAGTTGACTAATTTTAATTACACTAAAAAGTTAGTAGAATGATTTTAGTTACATTAAAATTTAGTCAATGAACTATAGCTACATATTTCTTTAGTTAAGTTAGCTATAAATTTTGGTTTGGTCACAACACTAAACATATTAAAACCTAAAAAACAGTAAACTAAATTCAAGGTGCTTACCTTATCATTTGGTAAGTATGTGCGCAACTTTATTACATTGCTTGAAGGTATATCTGGAGCATTGTCCAAAAATATATAACCACCTTTAAAAGGAAGTAAACGATGCAAATGCACAGTCAGTCCTCCTAAGTAATTTATGTGCCAAGGCTCAATATAGTCATTTGAAATAGGAACATTAAGTAAATTAAAAGATTCAACACTGCAAGGCTCAAAAAAAACTAAAGGAATCGAAGAAGAAATAGAATCACTTAACCATTTAACATAGGTCTGCAGACTTAATAATACTTCTTTTAAATCCCAAAGATAAGGATACAAGTCATATAAAATAGCTTCATTTGGTATTTTGCAAAAATTTTCAAAAAGTATATAAATCTCATTACAAAGCTGATCACAGTGCAACAATCTGTCAAACCAACAAGAAACCTGAAAATATTTTTTTTTTTTTTTTAAATATAATAGATGCTTGCAAACAAAATACAAAAAAACTAAAATCTAACCTTTTCTTTGCTAGGGGGCTGCTCATATATATCACATACATTTTTAAGAAGCCAGATAAAATCTTGCAGCAATAAATTTCCTTTTTCACCATGCTCGTAAGGTAGATAAAAAAGTTCTGCTAAAAGACTAATACAATCAATAGTAAGCTGCATTGATTTCGATTTATCCACAATCATACTAGCTATAGTTTCTATGAAAAAAAAATTTTTAAAACTTTTGTAATAAAAAAACAATAGCATTATACTAACCTAATTCAAAAAAGCTTTAGTTGTTTTCAAGTAAAAATATCATTTAATTTGAAAGACTGTTTATAAAAAGAGCTGTATTTTCTTTCAAAAAAGCATATCAGTTGAAAAAAAAATATACACACATATACTGAACTTTCTAAAACTTTTTAATATGAAATGTAAAAATACAAGAAATAGTCTTAGATAGATTACAAATCACTTTTTTTTTATAGAACTTCTACAGCTTATTTGATTAAAAAATAATTTAATACTGATCAAAAGAGTTACGATAAAATAAAAAATTTTTATCGTAACTCTTTGATCAACTTAAAATTATATTATTCTATTAAAAAAAATAAAGAACAAGATCTTTAAACTTTTTTATCAGTAAACTGTATAGAAATAATAAAAGTTTCGCTAGATTTTCTGACTTTAGTGTGTGTGTGTGCGTGTGTGTAAACAACAGCAGTTTGATACGAGCAAATATCTAGGTGTCCATGTTTTATCACTACCAAACCTACCATTTCCAAAGAATAATATTAAAAATTGTTACAACTGCAATTAATTAAAATTTCTGCTATAAGTTTTTTCACAATACTTATGGATTGTATAAAAAGTTTTGTTTTTTTTATAAATCTTTTATTAAATTTCAAATTTTTTTTTTTTTTTTTGCTGTATACACTTCCACAAGACCAAATGACCAATTACAGTTGAGGAGGCTACTCTTTTTATTTTTTTTTAATTGTTGTTACAAAGCTTTCTTAATCCTACAACTCTGAAACATGAACATGTTGACCAACTTTTGCAGTAAAATTTAGACTGCAGTACTAAAAAAAGTTCAATTTAGTACTACTACCACCAATGTTATAGAAATTGAAGTCTGTACTAAACTTCAAAAGTTCCCTAGCACTATTTAAAAAAATATGAATAAAATTTTAGCGAAACTAGATCAGCCAATTAAAATTTTCGAATAAAAACTTTGAGTTTCGCCTGGTATATAAAACAAATAACATTTAAAAAACTTTTTAAATAATGAAAAAAATGAGTTTTTAAATGCAGAAAATAATTAAATTTTATCACTTATGATTTTTTTAATATGCAAATATGTGCAATAATGAATGTAAATACCTAATAAAAAAACATTTCATCATTTCATCATTTATTTATTTTTATCATAGATGAGTATTTGACATTATGAAAATCCCGGAAATTTTTTTCTATGTAAATTCCACAAAATTATTTTATTAAAAATTGATCATATTAACAGACAACAAAAACTATCGTAAACTTTCAAAACGAAATTTAGATTATTTAACTTTTTTTTACAAAAAGGAATTTCTAATATTTGAAAAAGTTAATTTTAATGATTTAAAAAAAAAAAAAAAAAAAAAAAAAAAATTGTTACGAAAATTTATCTCGTGAAAATTTTAATTATAGAAAACATAATTGTTTAAATGCAAAAGTTGTCGTATTTAAAACTGTATGTAAAAACTTATAATTTTTTTTTCAATTAATAACAAAAAACATCCGGAAATTTCCGGAAAATTAAAAGAGTTTTAAGTGAATTTTCAGATTTCCGGGAATTCCCAGAAAAAAAACTCATCCATATTTTATCTTTTACTGCTTCTAATAACACTTTTAGAAAGTTTAAAAACTTGCAATTTAAATAATCAATTACTTTTTTCACAGCTATGCTAGTTACAAATTGAATATAAAAAATAAATGCATTAATATACCTGATGTTCTATTAGGATGATCCATATCGAATGCAATGGCACTCAGTACAGTCTGTCCATTTACTAAGGTTGCTTTTAAATTTCTTTTAGAATATGACTTTAATGGAGCTTTTTTAATTCTACTAAATTCATTAATCCAATCACAGAGTGCAAGTTTAAGAGCATCTTTTGCATTATAGTCTAACACAATTGATGCAACATCAGCCACAGTGAGAGAAGGAAGTAAGTCAACTGTCATTTCATTGCTGTTATTGGGATTTTCATCATCAGAAAGATAGGCCATTGGAACATCGTCAAAACATAATGCATCATTTGAATTAAAAGAGTTAGATGCTATACGACACCATGTACCAAGTGTATGAATTGGAACAAAATTGGCTTCAAACTCACAATTTGGGTTAGTCAAAATACCATTGAGATATGAATAGAGTTCAATAGATCTACCACAATAAGCCCCCAAAAAAACTCTACGTTGATCATAATCATTTGCATGTATGTTATCCCATATAACAGGTTTTCTTTGCAAAATATGACCAAGTTCTTGTATAGATTCTTTTGTTATGGTCTCAGGAATGACTTTGTCACCTATAAATTTAAATAAAAGCTACTTAAAATCATTTGTAGAGGTACATTTTTTTTTTGAAGAAACATTTAATTAAAAGAACTCAAATGTTGTTAAAAAAACAAACACTTCTCTAAAACATTTTAAAACTTGGTTGTTCATTTTAAAAAACTGATAATGAATTCCTTATTTTTAGTTTATCAGTAATAAATATTAAAAATAAGTATTAAATTATTTTAACCTAAAAATACTTAATTATTTTAACCTGTCCACATAATATCAATTTCTTTATGTAATGTGGTGCCTAGCGTATTTAAGTACTCAGACTTTGATACAGAAGGGATAGCACGAGTTTTGCAATATTCTAAATAAAAAATATTTTAGAGGTAAACGCTATTTTAAAAAATATAATAAAAATAACATCTAGTGAACTTAAATTCTCTACTGTGTCAAAAAATATGCTTGAAAAAATAATTTTTGTCAGTTAAAACCTTTTTGTTTCATTGCCTTCAACACTAAAAGTGAAAATTGAAATTTGTTTAAATAGATAGTTTTCAAACCAAAGTAAATATATTTACTTGGGAAATTAACCATTTTTATTCTAAATATTTAAAATATCAATTTCACTGATTGCATTGAAGTTAGAAACAAGATGGCAGCTTATATAAAAAGATATGAAGTGAAACATAACATGAAATTAGGTTGCATCTCATATCCCTTTTTGCACAAATAAATAATTTTAGAAGTAGATAATTAACAAACAACTTGTGCAATTAATGATTATTAGAATAATGATAATTTTAAAAATAACAAAATAAATCCATTTCAGTCAACCAATTATTAAAAATACTTATTAATAAGTTATAATCTAATCGGATGACCATTAAACAGATTTTTTTTGTACAAAAATTGTTTAGGGTATACTCAAGTGACTCTATTAAAAATAACTTTTTACCCACCCACAAGCACTGTGTTTTTAAAATGATATAAAAATATAACAGATTTTAACAGTGTCACTTAACTGTGGGAAACATCCAAAAACTCATACAACAATTTTCAAAAACATTTTAATGATAGAAGATTTTTAGTTTGAAAATGAATGAGTTAATGGATAACTAAATTGTTAAAACATGATTTTACTTATGCTCGAGGTTGTGTTTAATTGTAAAAAAAATCTAATGCATTACAATTTTTTTTTTAATAATCTTTTTTTAACCAACCTCTAACATGATAGCAAAATCAGTAGCTACAGTAACAGCACTTAGGAGACAAAACTTTAGCAACTGAAAAGATTTTTAGTATGAATAATATAAATAATTAGTTGCCATTTGTTGTTTCCTAAGAACTTTACAACATCAAAAACTGTTAAGAAACACCAGTACCAGTTTTATCAAACAGAACAAAGTAAAACTAAGAAAATAATATGAAAAATGTAAATATTAGGATATTATGTCAAAAACTTAATAAGTTTATGTTAAACAACTAATTTTACTTTTCTTAGCTTCAGTTTAGCATATAAAACTGGCACTGGATTAACATTATAATTAAAAGTTATATAAAACAAGGTTTTAACTAACTAATGCCAATCATCTTGAACAATTTCAAATTAAATATAGAAAATGTAGAGAACTTAAGTAGTTTTGCTGCTCTTTATACAAAACAATGACAAACAAGCACATCACAACAGTAAACAATCCTAACTTTCTTTATAATTATATTTATAGGGGATGTCAGGGTGGTTTTTTCGGAAAGAACAAAAAACCTTTTTTTTTCTCAATCTTTTGTTTCCAATGGTGCTGTTGTTGTCAACGACAGGGATGAGGGACGTGCTAGAATAGATTACATATAATGAACACAGTGCATACACTGGTCATTTCAAAAACATATCTTGAGCATTTCCAAAGTATTCTTCTATTCAGCAACTTCTTTATCCAAAGTTTTTAAATTATAGAATTTATCTTAAAGAACTTCTATCAAGTAGTTACAACAATCAATTATACAAAAAATTGCAAAATCTTATTAAGAGATATTATTTATAAGATCAAATTAAAAAAAAAAAAAAAAAGCAAACCAAAAGATGCAAATATTTTCAACTTTTAGGAATATAGGCATTTAGATAAAGGTATTTTGAAAATTATAAAAAACTATTACAAAAAAAAAAAGAACTCACCAGTAGGACAAAATAGAAATTGTGGACGTTTTAGAAAATCAAACAATTCATTCGTAAGAATTGCCTGAGCATGACCAGATGATTTGTAAATTAGAGCATCAGAGGGCTTTAATGTTGGATTGATATCATCAAAGAGCAGTGCAAATGCTTTGCAACCCAGTCTGCTGACCTAATTTTAAGAACTCTTCTTTAGTCAATTATTAAAATATTAGGTAAATAAAACTTTATATTTTCATATAATCCTAATAAGTGTAATTAAAGATGATGTGTGCAATTAAAGCAAAAAGAATATAAAAATACATGAAATATAGAAAAATTTTTTTTTTTCAGTTTAGATATCAATGTGTGCAATACATCTCAATGTTCTTAGACTAATTCAGAATGTGAATATACATTTGTGAGTTATTATAACTTAATTTAGTAAATATGATTAGTAAAGTAAAAGTTAATTCAAATGTTACATTTAAAATTAACTTAGAATATCAAAAAACCAACCTGTTTCATTTTTCGCTTAAGAGCATTGACATCAGCTTCACTAGAAAACATTATATCTAGACCAGGAGAGATGGCATAAACAAAAGTTATACCTTCAAATGATGCAGCTGTTACAAGTTTTTCTATTTTTGCTAGGAAAATAAATTGTTCAAATTTATAAGAATTGAATAAATAAATAAATATAAATAAATAAATAAATATAAATAAATAAATATATATATATATATATATATATATATATATATATATATATATATATATATATATATATATATATATATATATATATATATATATATATATATATATATATATATATATATAAAGATTGTACAATAATATAATAATAATAAAAAATGATAACATACACTCTTCTTCTTTTGTATAAAGCTGTCTCCATAAAGCGCGATGTTTAATATCATCTTTGGGAGCATATATGTACGTGTTCATTGAATATCTATGCATTCTAAAAATTAAATATATATATATATGTGTATGTATGTATGTATATATATATATATATATATATATATATATATATATATATATATATATATATATATATATCTTTTATATTTATAACTATTGAATGTTAAAAATTTTAAGTTTTTCCAATTTTTTTTTTTAATTTTAAATTGCAAAAATATTTGAATGAGAGAATTCAAATAAATTCCTAAAATCAACTTGCGTATTTATAGAAAATGTTTAATCATGATATCGTTTTAAATAAAAATTAAATATAAAAAAATGGTATAGCATTTATCATATTCATTTGATGTTTCTGGTTAGAATAATTTTTAGTTAGAAGCTTATATTATGTGTTGATAACATATAAGATATAAATATAAATATTTGTATGGCTAACTTTTGTGAGTCTTTGAGTATATTAAGTAAATTAATATAGCTGATAAGTTAATATTTTAGTAACTGTAAATTACTGTAGTAACTTAACTGGTTGTTTTGATTCAGTTTATAAGTAAATTAATTGTGAAGTACTTTATCCATTCAGCCAATCAAAGTTAAAAAAACTTTTAAAGGTTCAGGGTCGTTAAAAAGAAGTAAAAAAGTTTCTGGTTTCTACTAAAATTGATTATCTATTATAAAAAATTTTAAATAAAAACAAATTAAATACATGTTTTAATATACTTATACAGTAGCAAATTAATAATATAAAATTGTTGATAAAACAATAATTTGAGTTATTATTAATAAGTTAATTTGGTGCAATGTTTTAAAAACAAAGATAAAAACGATGCTGTTGCGTTCGAAAAAAAAAAAAAAAAAAAAATGAAGAAAAATTTCGCTTTAACCTCTTTTCCCTTTTAAACTTTTTGCTTTAATAACCTTTTCAAATATTATTGGCTTCCACCCAGAGATTGAGTTATTTAAATTTAAAAGTACTTTACGTTGAATGAAAATCTCCATGCAAAAGTGCAAATGATCATCTATTCAAAAGCTAAATTTAGTGTGACATACTTTATAAACCCTAATAAAAAAACTTTGACAAAAAATTACTTTCAAGAATTGCTAAAAAAAATGCTAAATTAGAAAAAAATAAATAACCGATTAATTTTTCAGTTAAAAAAAGGTTTTAACTAAAAATTAATCGCAAAAGTGTGAAAAGCAATTGCGATATGCTTAATTCGAGCCCTATATATATATATATATATATATATATATATATATATATATGTATATATATATATATATATATATATATATATATATATATATATATATATATATATATATATATATATATATATATATATATATATATATATATATATAGACACACATACAAAGAGAGAGAGATGGCATAAACAACACACACACACAGAGGGACCATAACAAAAAGCTATTTTATGTATTGAGGCAATATAAAATAGCTTCAATGTTTTTTAAAAACTCCTTAAAATAAAAAAAAAATCAACAATTTGTTTAAAGACAAGTAATGGTTAAATTAAGCAATGGTAAATCATGATGGGCTAAAAGGAATTTTTACAATTTTTTAAATATTGTAAAGTTAAATTTCTTAAATTAAAACATTCTATTCTTAAAACTATTTTAACTAATTGGATCAAAGATGCCATAGTGGTTTTATCCACATATTATTGCTCAGGTTACTGATTACTGGAATATAAGTTAAGTAATATATATGTGATAAAAATGTTTGCAAATTGACGTTCACATATTTCTTGGATTTATTGTTCGCCTACACATATTTTGTAAATAATATAAATACTCATAGTATAATTTATGTTATTTATATATGCTAATGAAATTCATAATATAATTTATATGATTGTATAACAGCAATAACACCAATATTAGAACTACTTAATGACGACAATCAAATAGACAGCAGCAATCAAGACATAGCTGACAAAATGGCAGCATTTAATTTTTAAAAAAAAGGAACATAAAAGTAACTTTTTTATAAGATTGCGCTGAATAATGTTCTCAGATCTTTAAAATATCATAAAAATTTTTATATCAATTTTTATTATGTTTCAAGTTATTCTGAGATGTGTTTCTATCAAGTTATTCTGAGATGTGTTTCTATCAAGTTATTCTGAGATGTGTTTATAAGATGTGTTTCTATCAGCTGTATGAAGTCAACCATAGTCATTTATACATTGTCATAAATATATCATACATTCGCTGTGAACTGGAATCATTTAAAATAATTGGAAAAAAAAAATCCTAACTTATAGTTAGTAAACAAACAGAGTTGATATTTGACTGGGGCCAGGGCAGGCCAGGTTTGATAAAGTATAACCAGGGCCAGGTTTGTGACCAGAGCTGCATAAACAATTATACATCCTAAAGTATATTTTTTTTATTCAAAATTCATGTTATATTTTGTAAATATATATGCATATATAAATATCATTATGATCAACATAATTATCATTATGATCATGATCATGATTAATCATTCCTCTTTTACGCTGTTTCTCTAACATAAACAATCTAGAGCATTTTCTTTCTTTAACTAAACCTCATTCATACAATATATAAGGCACTCTCTTTAAGTTTTCTTACTTCTACAAGTAGCATTTTCTGCTGAAGCTTCTACCTTCTTTACATGCTGATAAATAAATCACTTAAATCTTTTCTAACAAAGATTGTTCAATAAGACACTTTTTTCAAATCTAAAACTATGCCTCTTTTTCTTGTCGTGTTAGAGTCACACCAGGCCTTGCGATTAAGCGTCGGGCGATGTGAACTTTACGTCGTCCAAGGGCGATTTTGCGTGTAGCTAGGGCTATTTGCGTCGAGCAAAAAATTTTTTGTTTGAGTATATTTAAAGATATTTTTGAGCGGAATTTTAATGAAGTAATTTACGATTATTTTAACATTTAATAGAGTATTTTAAAAACCGCACGCAGTTGAAATAAAAGTTTGAATTTAAAAAAATTAAATATGCTCATTATTTACAAGTAGAAAAAATTCAAAAATTAAAAAGTTTAAATCTTTTAAGCTAACATTTTAATAAAATTATTCAGCAATAGCAACGTTGTCGATAAAATTGAACAAAAATACTTTCTTTTAGTTTTAGATTTTAAACTTAAATAATTATTTTACAGGGGTTTGATAGGTTTTAAAATTATTCCATAGATTTAAAAATATTTATTAACTGTTAGACGTATTTAAAGTATTTAAGAGTGATTTCGAGGAAACATTTTAAAAATTGGTGAGGGCAAATAAAAAAAAAAAAAGATTAATATTAAAACGTATTCTACTTGATTCAATAAAAAAGTACAGTTATTAAAATTTTTGTAAAAAGTAACTCAAAAAAATTACTTAAATAAAACGATCGCTTTTATGTTAAAAGTTACCGAAACTCATCGAAGCGTGCTCAAGAACAGCTGCTGAAAAATAGAACGTCAATAGTTTTTCGAATAATTTTTAAGAATAATTTTTTCGCTGAAATATTTCTTTTATACCTATAAGATTTTTATTCTAACATTTTATTTTATTTTACTAGAAATAAAATTCCTTGTTAACATTAAAAATCTATTCAAAACGTTCGTTTAAGTTTTTTATTAATACGAGTGATTGTGCTTATCAACCGCTTTATGAAAATAAATAAAAATAAATAAATAAATATTATATAAAATCGCTTGTAAAAATATTAGCTATTGCACAGTTTTTAATCGTACAATATTAAACTTCCAGTTTATTACTCGCTAACTTTTTAAAAAGAAAAAATAATTATTTGAAAAACTTTAAATTACATATTTAAGAAAAAAAAAATCAAATATTAGCATATTTTATAATCTTTTTTAAATTTAAGTTATAATGTTTTTTATTCGTTTAGTATAGACAAAACGTGACAAACGTCGAGAAAATAAACAAATGTTTTTACATTTTAAAAAACGAAACATTCCAAAACATTTTTAAATAATAACATTTCTACATAAACGATTTAAAGTAGTTTTGCGGTAATTAAATTATTTGGTGCAGTTAATGTCGATAAATATGAAAAGCAAATAAAAAGAATTTAATGACGTCAAAAATCACGTCGTGCTTATGCGTCGCGCAGTTCTTATTCATCGCAAGGCCTGCACACCACACATTTATCTGATCATTTTCTATTTTGGCAAAGATTACACCATATAAATACTAAAGTTTATATAAATATGAAAGGATATTGTTTGCCAGCATCTAAATAAATAGCAACAATGTTTATACCCATAACATATACGCATAAAGTGCATCTTGGAAGCTTTTATTCCTTCTGGAATAAAAGCTTGGAAGCTTCTATTCCTTCTCTTTAATTAAGTCAAGCTTCATTCTACTCTGCATTTTTTACCATCTTGAGCAGTTGCTTTATTAAACAGTAACCATTTTTATCATCATTTTTACAATAAACATCTCTCTTATAAGCAAATGCCCTTTTATTATTCCAAGAAGCCAATGTAAAAAGGTCCTGCCTGATGATAAATTCTGTTGTTCTAAGTTAACTAAACCTTGTTTCTTATCTCAGATGTTAGGATCTAAAGACATTTGGTAAGTCTTCAATAATGTCATTAACTAAAGTAAGTCTAACATTCATTTCTAATTCATGGGTCTGACTTTTTACTTCTTCCCAGAATAAGGCAGAGTTTTTTGCAAAAAAACCTTACTCTAATTCAACTCTTGAATCTAATGGCCACACTCTTCCTGTCAGTTAAACAGATTAACCCATTGTTAAATATTAAAGTCACTAATCATTCTAATGCAAAACTCAATTCTCAATTAAACACTTCTACAGTTTGTATTCCAGACAAGATTTTCATTGTCTTAAAAAAGTGTTCTCCAGAATTATTTTCAATTTTCATCTTTGTGTATTCATCTTTAATACATCCTGCAACTTTTAATATCTTCAGTTAACCATTTTCTAGTACAGTAGTTTCTTGCTTAATTGCGCACCCAATTAGTTGCGCATCTTAGTTGATTGTGCGTTTAGGCCCAAAATATTTGTTTTAATTTTTTACTGAGTTTTTTGTTGAAAGCGTAATTAGATCAGAAAACGTAACTATTATTTTCCTGTGTTAAGTTAAAAACTATTTTTATCATAAATATTATGAGATAATGATTTTATCAGAATATAAATAGATAAATAATTTGAATTAGAATCAAAGTAAATGATAAATCTAGTGTTAAACAAATAATAAGCTTTAACGATTTATCAGTCAAGTCTCATTGTAAAAACTTTAATAAAAAAACTGTAGTTTAAATTTAGCCGTCTATTCACAGTTCTCTTATTCCAACTTTTTTATCCCTACTTCTTATGGCTAAAAGCAAAGGAAAAAGATTATCAGAAGATCAACGAGTCGAAATTATAGCTAAACTTAAAAACAGTGATATGCCAAGCAAACGAGCTATTGTAAGAGAATATAATGTAACTGTAAATTCAATTCGATCTAAATTTTTATTATCTTTTTCTTATTTGCGCACTCCTAGTTAATTGCGCACCGCAATGCCTATTTCAATTTGCACAATCAAGCAAGAGACTACTGTATTTTAACTTGTTCTTTATTTTCAAGTAACTCATAACTTAATAGTAGTTGCTTGCAATCTTGTTGAAGAAAGTAAAATAGAGTTTAAAAATATATAAATATGTAATAAATAGTATATATTAAAAAAATATAAAGCTATAATACAAAAAGTATTATAAATTTTTTTCTAGCCCCGGCTATCAATCCCTGCTAAATCTTATAATTTTGCTGGGCCCAGGTTAGCAAAAAGTCTAATTTTTAGCATGAGCCCAGGTCACTTACTACTTATAGTATCTAATTTTTTTATTATTAAATTTGGTTTTTAATTGTGACACTCTGGAGCAACAGTACACTACAAAAAAAATATAACTTACCTTGAAAATAAATCTTTGCGCTGCAAACATGTCCAAGGGCGACCATAAAAACCTTAAAAAAATTAAAATAAAAAGATCGAAGTTTAAAGTTCACTTATATTAAAAGACACTCATATATATAGACAATTATATTACTTTTGCAAACTACAAGTAAAGTAGAAAGAAAACTATTGTGTTTTATTACATTTGCAAAAGTTAGTTAAATAATTATTGTAAATAAAAAATACTTTATGCCTTAAAATTAATTATTTGTAGTACTTTTGTAATAATAACTTTAACTCTTTCAGCACAGCTAAAAAATAGCAACTTTTTATGGAGTTTTGCAAAAACAAAAATATCTTTAAAAGTAAAAGTCTAAAGTGCATAATGTTATACAGTTTTTTCTGTATTGGTGTTAAAATTCATAATGGTGGGAAAAAAAGTAATTTTTTAGGAGTTTATAGAAATTTTTTATACAAAAGTTGACCTATAAGTTTATGATTGATATGAACCAGAAGCTTTATGTAAAAACTATGTATTAAAGAAATAGAGCTTAACTTAAAACTCTCATAGCTTCTGCAGTATTTCTTAATTATTTTTTACTTCACAAATAAAAAAAACCATTAATATTCAATTTAGTTCACTTAAATGATTATTAGGAACTAATTTAATAAAAAATTTATTATTTACTCTAAACTCACATATTTTAAATAATAATATAATTTTAATTAACCTAATTTACTCATTTTTTCAAATTTAAGTTAAAACACTTGATAACAAACATTATTAGATTAAGGAAAAATCATTATTTAATTTTCAAGAAAACACATAAACATTTGATTCTCACATATATCCAAAAAATTTTCTTATAAAAAGAATGACTCAATTTATGATCTCTTTTAGGAGCAGGGAGTTGCAGCAAATACTCAGTGGTTAATTAGAACATATATTAACAGTTCTTATTGAACCAAAATTGGACATTGAACAAAATAGAACTTTTAATTGCCTAGTAATTCATAATTGTGCATTAAAATTTATATTTTTAAATGGTAAATCAACTTTGCCCTGAGTAAATAAAATGTATTTTTAAATGTATAAAAAATACATTTTATTCACTAAGGACAAAGTTGTTTAACATTATCAGAGATTTTAAAACAGATTGAAAATATTGTTAAATTAACAACAGAATGACCTCACATTTTCTAAAATTGATGGTCATAACTTCTACTTATATTAAAATTAAATTTTGATATTATTTGACTAATTTAAATTGATTGTGCTTTTTGTTACAACAAGTATAAAGTAACAAAAAGTATATAAGATATAGAATATAAAATATATTATCATTTAACTAGATTTTAGTCGTTTATATAATCAATATGATACAAAAACATTATGAAAGCAAAGGTATTCTGTAATATATAAATTCAACTTTAATATAATAATCATTAATATTAAAATATATTACGCATCAATATTATTTTTATCTAAGTTACTTTATAGGTAATTTAATTTTGTAATTTTAACGTAGATAACTAACATCTACTAATTAAATCTAAAAAAAATAATAATTAAAACTCCATAAAAGTATTTGACTCGTTATACCTTCTACAACTCCACAAATGAAGTGTTTTTCTTCGACAACAACCATTTCAAAAACTTTTTATTTTTTGTTTTGAACAGTAAAAACAACAATCTCGAATTTAAAAGTATTTTCTTTGTTAAACTTTTTTCGGAGAGATTATTCTTATTATTTTGAAAAATTCTGTTTCAATATTTTATAAACAAAAATGTTAGCCACTTGGTAAAGTACATTAAAAATAATTAGAGATTTTTAAACTTCTTTAACTATTTAAAAGCATTTTTTTTAACTTAAAATTTTTTTAAAAGTCTCTAATTTGATTTCTCAGCAAAAATTAGCAATTTTTAATTTTTTTTTTCGTAAAAAGAGAAAATAACAAGATGAATTATTACCCCCCTGCATCAATTGCTTTGATACCGGTTTAGCCGGTTTAACCAGTTTTTAAATGGTATTGACGTAGATTTAATCATTTCGTAAAAAGTTATTTTGAACTTTTATTGAGATTATTATAAAACATAGCTTGTAGCCACGCTTTCAAAATTAAATTTATACTAGATATGCTTATTAAATACCGTTTATTTTTTAAAATGAGGGCGGTGAGGTCTGTGAATTTTGAAAAGACGAAAAAAATTTATTATTTTTATATGCTGATTTTAGGTGCCCCAAGAAGACCTTACGGATTTATCACAGAGCACCGCGGAAGAACATTTAATAGGAAGTTCACGCCTCCTTCCCAACCGATGTCGCAAAACTTGCCCAGAGGTGGGGTTTGAACCACGGATCTTACGTTTCTGAGGCAAGTGCGCTAAAAAAATTTATCATTTTAATTTTTTTGATATATCATATGTATTTTTTTGATATATCATATATATGATATATCATAAAACATGAATGTTTGTAGCGAAAAAACCCAGACCAAAGATTTTTTTTTTTTTTTTTTTTTTAAAAAAATCTTGTTAAAATCACAATCGCTTGTCCAAATTCTAATAAGATTTTAAATAAATTTTTTAGGTAAATTGAGAATCGTATTTTAATAATATGATCTATTCTGATCGTTTATGGACAATTTCTCTTATTTATAAGCTCTTTCTTGGTCGGAATTCAAGTATTTTTTGTAAAAATTTATAGAAATATTGTATTATGACAACTATATATAGTTAATATACGTCAGAACCGATTAGAACAAAGATCTATAGTTGTTTAAGGGACTTTTTCAAAATATTTTAATTAAATTCATTTCGCCGATGAGCGAAAGTGATCTAGGTACTTCAAAATGGTGTTTTTTAGATTCACTATTAGAGGTAGTAAAAAGGTTTTGAAATATGTATATAAAAAAAGAAAAGTTTCTTTAAATATTAAAAAATTTGAAGCAAAAAAATTATAACATCTAAAGCTCTTGTTTGGACATAATATGCTGATAAAATCATGCTAATTCCAATTAAAAGAATTCGAATAATTTGTAAATCGCCTTTACTACACCGAGCAGACAGTCAGCAAATTTCAAAAAAGAGGCCCTTTTTCTTTTTTTTTTTAATTTAGTAAAAACTGTATTGACTCCTCCCTCCCTCCCCCTCACTTAACACAATACTCGCGCCGGCCCTGTACACAAATATATAAATATACGAGAAAAGGTATAGCTTGAATTTCGGAGCACCTGGGATTAATTCTAATGATTTTTCATTTAGAGCTATTTAGTTTCATTCCGTTGTCCACCGACCTTGGTGCCACGCCACCAACAACTGATTAAGGTAAGTTGGCAGAACTTTATCGTAGATTATATGTCAGGATATTGTCAGCATATTTTTGGAGAATGTAAATGGAAAAGTATGGCATTAAAAATCAAACCATAAAATGGTTCTCAAACTATCTACATAATAGACAACAATGTGTTATTATGGATCAAATTAACAATTCAAAGCAGTTACAAATAAAATGTGGTGCCCCTCAGGGATCTATTTTAGCTCCTCTTCTATTCCTAATCTACATTAACAACCTTCCTTTAGTCTCATTCAAATTAGATTGCATAATTTTTGCAGATAATACCAATATGTTTTATTCTTCAAATTCTATCAACGACCTGTTTTTAGCCGTAAACTTAGAACTACAAAAACTTAATTCATGGTTCAGAGCTAATAAGTCATTATATTCAAACAAAACCAAGTACATTTTATTTTATTTTATTTTTTTTTTTTAAGTTTACATTTGTTGTCATAGTAAATAAATTACTTTCACAAACACAAACAAGGTTTCTGAAAGAAGATCGTACTGATCTTTTCATCAGAACCTTTTACAAGCGTGTGTATATAAACTACATCAAAACATAATCAACAAAATAAAACGTAATAAACAATAAAAGTTCTAAAAATATATATATATAAAATTACGATTAAAAAAATCTGACTACATCATCCATTAAGATAATTAAATTTTTCAGTTTATATTTGAAAATGGGATTATTTGGAAATATTTCACCCCACCAATAAAAAAAAATCATTACCATCAACCTTAACTGTTCTCAGCATAGACAACTCAATTACTGAAAGAACTCATTCATCTAAATTTCTTGGTGTACTTATCGATGAGAACTTATCTTGGAATTCTCATATAAACGCTATTAATACAAAAATATCTAAAAACATTGGTCTACTTTTTAAAGCAAGACCTTTTCTGTTTTACGATAATTTAAAATTACTTTATTTTTCATTTATACACTGCTATCTATCATACGCTAATATTGCATGGGCTAGTACCCATAAAAGTAAGCTAATTTCACCACATCGACGACAGAAACATGCTTCTAGAATGATATTTTACAAAGATAAACTTACTCATGAAAGTCCGTAACTTAAACAGATGAATGCTTTAAACATTAACTAAATCAACATATATCAAAATATATTATTTATGTTCAAACATAGAATGGGAATTGTCCCAAGTTGATTCAAAAACAACTTTTTTAATACTAATATAAACAGATTTAGTACTAGAGCAACTGGACACTATATTGTGCCTATGAAAAAACGAAAACTCTCCCAATTTTCTGCAGCTTATTGTGGTCCTTACTTATATAACAAATTATTTCCAAAAAAATCACCAGTATTTCTTGTAGAAAATATTAATTTCTTAAAAACCAAATTAAAAAAACTCATTCTAGAAATAAATAATTAAATGGAAATATTCTAATTTATTATGGATAATTAGAAAAATAATAATGTAAAAAAAAAAAAAAAAAACAATATGTTAATTTAATTTAAAAAAACTTAAAAAAAAGTAAACTTAACTTGTTAATAGTATTTATGACAATAATATAGCATTTCATGAAACTAATAATAAGGGTTCTCGATGACAAGATTTAAACTGTTCTGCGAGTTTTCCCCTGACTACAAAATTTAAACTAACTTATTTTTATCCCGTTTCTTTTTCACAATAAAGTTAATAATATTACTTTAATTTCCTTACTTCAAATATATCTCAAGTATTTTGATGTCTCTTGTTATATAAGAAGTATTTTTCTGAATGTATTTGTTGTAATATAATATGTATTGTAAAAACTTGTAAATACTATGTAGTCTTAAAAATATATGATTATAAAAAAAAAAAAAAAAAAAAAGTGGTTTCAGGTGGGAAATGTTAATCTCGGAAGTTAAACGCTAATGTTGGAAATAAAGAAAATAAACAACTATTGAACTAAGAACATTATCCTGAAGTACATGAACGTTGACCAGGTATGCCGACATCTTTTATATTAGCATAAGATTGGCATCTTTTTCATCTTTTTGCTAATCGGGCCATTTTACATAGCTTATAAATAGCTTTTATTATTAGTATTATTAATATTAACCATTTTTGATCTTTTATCTTAATTTTAAAGATGATGGTTTGCACATCAGAAGGTAAAATTGAAAATAAAAAGTTGTGCAAGTTATTAAGATGCACTGCTCACTTTTAGATTAAACGTGATATTGACACGTATTACCAGACGACAGGAGTAATTTTGGGGAAGAAGTAACTTTGAGCAACTGTTAGTTAAGTTTCATATTTAGGCACCGAGTTAGACACATATTTGGTCATTAATTTCATTTGTTCTATTTTATCGGAATATTTTTTTTTATGAAATTAATAGTACCATCATTTATGCAATCCTATTGTTCAGTACTTATGTACGTTTAATTATTGTTGATTTGGTAAAGAATAGTTGGCTTACCACCAGGGTTTAGTCAAGTTTCATTTAAACAGGTAATGTCAAAGTTAGTATCTGTAAGAATTTGATTAAAAATCTCAGTTTTGTTAGGCGATTGGTGTTGATGTAAGAGCTAACTGGTTAGCGTGGAGGGAGGAGTAAGGACGCCGTGGACCTTGACAATTGCACTATCGCAAATACTCCTGTAAAAGGGGCTTCAGGGTTATCAATACAAAGTTTATCATTACGAGTTTAGCGGTTTTTGCGTAATTGATACTCAAGTTCTCTTTCAGTAGGTGACAAGTCAAGATTAACTCTGTTATTCTAGAAATTTTCATGTGTAGCAAGTTTGCAAGAATTTATAAGAGCCAATTTTTTAATAGCAATGTTTATAAATTCTACCACAAAAAACCGGCAATTTTTTTTTTTTTTTTTTTTTTTTTTTTGTATTATAACGATTAGAGAAACTAACATCATTATTGGTGAGGCCTATAACTGTTGGAACTTCTGTGATGCAGGGTAACACTGTTGGTGGTATTTGTTTAAAATCTGCTTCAAAGACTGGTTTAGGGAGACAAAGCATTATTAAATTTTTCTCATGCTTATCTGTTTGCTTTATTTCACCAAAGATTTAACTAATTTGTCGAGATGACTTTGGCTAGTTTTTGACTACAATACTCTAGGGCGGCTTTTGTGAACTTTCTTGGGTGACTGATTGAAAGTTGGGGTTAGTTTTTATAACTGCTACTTTTTATTCGAGTTTCTTTTGATTGGCTTGCAAGTTGATAACAACTATATGTTCAGAAATGATGTTCATAAGCTCCGTTATCCAGATAACGAGGTGGGTGATTAACGGCGCTAAGTTTTTAATGGCTGAGTAACCATTGCCATCAATTTTGTTAACAATAATTAACTTGTACAATAGAAAAGAATGTTTAATTAAGTGCTTTGTTTGTGTTGCTGTGATTTTAATTTATTCACAATCAAAATTTTTTTAAAATATAATCTAATGATTGTATTT